ACAAAAATAGGCGAATCTAAAAGTCATTTCTTTCGGATACAAACGCTTTCTTTAAAAACATTTTAGATTGACTTGACTGTAACAGTTATTTCCTGTGATTTAAAGTTATCTTTTTGTTGAAGTGGAGGTTCCCTTTAAAAACAATAGCGTAATTATCGTATTGAAGCAAAGCAGGGACACCTAACGACGTTTTCCGTAAAACATCTGTTCGGAGAAGCAAATATTGCCTAGAATTTTCTTTTATTTGAGGACAGCTAAAAATTTCTAGATGACCGTTCCATTCCTGTTCAATTTTCGGAAATAAATTTCCTACGATTTTCTAAAGTAAGTTTAATTTTTCACATTTCACTCCCTAGGTTAGGTTATTTTTCGTAGAAAAAAGGAAACCTAAAACTATTTTCGATTCAAAAATGTGAAGGAGAGAGGAAGCCCTTGCAATGTCGAAAAGACTCAAGCACCCCTAAGATGACTGAATAGATATAGAATGTATTTCAAGAGATCTATTAAAAAAGCACTCAGGATAGCCTAAAAAGTGTTTTCAATGTATTTAGGAGGAATCCGTCGATGGGTGCCCCTGGCAAAGAGCAAGTAATTCCAGAGAACACTTTTGTTATTTATTACAATTTAATGGCAAAAGGTTTCACGTAAGTGATAAATATAAAGGCATTGCCATAAGGACGGTCTGTAAAAGAGTCAAAGACCCAATACAAGACAGACCGCTTTCTAAAAAATATTCATATCATAAAAACTAAGACTAAATAAGACAGACAATTAAAAATGTGAAAACGCATATGGAGATATGTACAAAACAAAGCAATCAATAAAATAATAGTAATAATAATAATAGTAAAAACCTCACACATTTCCAGCTAAAAACTCCCTCACTCCTTCCTTAAAACTAGCAATAGTTGTTGCCTGACGAACAAGCAATGGTAGAGTGTTCCACATGTCCACGATCCTATTGAAAAAACTAAACTTAAATGCATTCCTTCTAGGATAATTCTTTTCAAGAGTACATTCATCTTTTCCCCTTAAAGAATACCGATCAGAATCTGAGAAAAACTGTACATATGTAGATAGATCAATATTTATATAGTCATTTAGGTCTTTATACAGGAATAATACGTCAAATAAAAATCGCCTTTGTTCTAAGGACAACAAATTGAGCTTTTTTCTCCGTTGTTCATCATCATGGTGTTCAAAATAAACTTAGTTGCCCTTCGCTGAATTCGCTCCAACTTAGAAATATTTCTAGATGTGTGTCAGCAGGTGTGTGGTGACCACACAACACTGCAAGAGGGGGGCGTAAGGGGGGTACCAATACCGCAAAACCGCACAAAATACGTGTAAATACCGCACAGAATAACATAAGAAAACCGCATTGAAATTACCCGAAAATTTCTAAATACCGCAAACCGCTTGCTTTTGTGAAACTGCATTACCGCAACTTAAAATAAAAATCACCGCAAAACCGCACCAAAAATCGAGCAAAACCGCATCACCGCAAACCCTTACACCCCGCTCCTGCAATACTCTAGCTGCGATGTGACCAGGACAAGATACAGAGTTCTCGATGTGGAATCATCTTGAAATCCTTTACAGGTCTCTTAGACCTAGGATCTTGTTGGCCTTATTCGACATTTTATCAATATGAGCGCTCCAAGACAGATTGCAGATTGCATTACTTTACATTTCCGTTCCCGTCAAACTCCCTGAGGTTTTGTTGACTCCATGCATATAAATTGTCGAGATCTGGGTCGGGTTGTTCGAAGCTGGGTTAAGGCTTAAAAAGCAAATTCAGTTTAATTCTCTTTGCCTACAATTTGATGACTGGATACTCTAAAAAGAATAGAGAAAATTATCCGATAGTGTGCTTTTGATAAAAAGAAAAAAAAACCTGGGCTAAAATTTAACCCCGGGTTAGCGCTAACCAGCGTTCGAACAACTGGGCCCTGACTGAAGTACGGAATGATCAGCTGGACAGTTTATAATCCTGGATGTTTTGCAGTCGTCAGCATATAATGACACACAGTTTCCAGGCATTACTACTTCAGGCAAACCACCAATGAAAATTACAAAGAACCAAGGGCCCAATAGGGAGCCCAGAGGTACGCCCGATGGAATAGCACACCATGTAGAATTTACTCCTTCTGTGACAACTCTCTGTTCTCATTCAAAGCGCACGGGAGATACCAAAATTACACATTTTTGCGGCACGATATTTTGTGCCACTTTGTCAAAAGCCTTTGCAAAATTCAGGAAAACAACGTCCACCTGTTTGCCCCCATCCAAGGCCTTTGTCCATTGATGGTGTGACAGAACTAACTGAGTAAAATCATATTAAAACTTAGATATCTATTTGGCATTTCATCACCAAAGTAATACTCGTGTTGATGTAAGGCATGTAAGTGATTGAGCTTATTTGAAGCAACCGTGAATTGAAGGGCAGGCCTTGACTAGAGTAGCAGAAGTCACGTAGAACGAAAGAAGCCCTGAGTAATACAGTAGACGCAGGTTCAGAAGGTCTATACAACTTTGACGTCTCCACTATAAGGACGACTAACTGGTCCTGGCTATCCCTTCTCCTTGTGCTCCAAGCTCAGCTCATGCTTCACCTTCCCCCGTAACGTATCAAAATGGCGCCTGCTTTGAAAAGTATAATTACCACCTGTTCACTTTGCGGTCTCAGACAAGACTTCTTCATTGAGATCCTAGGTATATACATTTATGTACAGCTGTGACAGTAGTTGTCAACTTAAACATGTTTCCTCTCAGTTTACAAGTTCTTTGTTTCCGTTGCACCTTCGCCATCTTTCAAACTGCTCTTACCAAATGCACCTGCGATGCAAATAAAAAAACTAATCATGACGGTTCCCTTTCGTGTGTATTCTTTGCACGATTTATTTTAGCCATCGATCAACACGCTTCTGTTGCTCGTTGCGCTAAATGTTTTACCCAAATATCTGGCACAGATTTCTTCAAAGTCAAAACAAATAACAAAACCTTTACATTTTGAGGAATCATTTATATGTTAAAATTCAGTAAAGTCATATTTCAGCTTAAATGTGATTCGTACAATGTTTGCACTGCATACCTATTGTTCCGACACGGGGAACTAAGTTAAGGGAGGCAATCGCGACTGCCGCGACTGCCAGGATAATACGCATGCCGAATAATGAGAGTAAGCGACGTCAACCGCCACCAGGGGAGGTGGGAGGGGCGAAACTTCTAAGTCGCTTCCACTGAACCCCGTTGAACTACCCAAGAGGCGGGCAAAAACTAAGCAATTCTAACCAAGGGTCGCAATGCATCATGCCATGAGCGCGCAGGCCCAACACCACGGAATTTGAAAGAGTCACTTAATTCCCGCGTCACCGGCCAATTATGTATGCAGTGAGAATATTTCTTCGATTCGTTTGCTGTTTTTATACTGATCAGATTATAGCTTGAAGCAGGAGATTGACATCAATCCAACCACGCTATCCCTTGCCGCCCGAGCAGCCCGAGCAGCCTGTGCAATGGTTGCTTAGAATATCAGCCATCTCCTCTGGCACAAAATCGCAACTACGAAGAGAACTAAACCAAAACGTATTGTAAAACCCAATATAGAATCGAATGGAATACTTTCTTGGGGGCATATTAAATCCTTTGACTTCTCCGTGGAACAAGCATCATAAAAGAGGCGATTGATGACAAAAAAACTCCTTTTAAGAACACACGAAATCTAGAAGGGAGTTGCCCTTAGCTCATTTGCCAGAAAAATACCTGTATAAAATAGAGGTTGCAAAATCAAATGCCCCTGTAGTTGCTTGGGCTAGATTAAATACCCAGGGAATCTTTCCGTCTGCTTTCAAACTCGCGCCGACCGGTAATTAGTACGTATACCCTCTGCGCTGTCTCTGGTTCCCTGAGGATGAATCTTTTTAAGACTAAAAATACTAGCAGCGTTTTTTAGCCTGTTCCAGGCTCTCAGATAGTAGGGATGAACCGGTGAAAGGCGTGCGGAGCGACTCAATCGCGGAGCCTGGAACAGGCTCATTTTGTCTTTCATCAGGTACACCCTCAAGAAAAAGTGTGTTCAACACTTACTTCTCTTCTCTGTGATACTGTAAAATTCCGAACATACAGTTATTTCGAGAAAGGTTGTCGGAAAAAAACGTGCACGCGACAATCCCGAAAGGTAATATGGGATATGCTCAATACACTGTTTCTGGCGACTGTAGCTGTCGAACCTACTTTTGTTGCTTTCCTTTAGCACTCGCAAACATATGTCTGTGGACTCCGGTACCATTCTTTCAAATTTCTTTGAAGATCAGTGCACTCAAAACCACCCACAATACCTTTCGGGATTGTCGCGTGCACTTTTTCCGACAACCTTTCTCGAAACAGCTGTAAGCCCCTCCAAAAATAAGCCACCCAAACCGGTAACGTAAAAAACCCTCTGTTAAATCGTCCTTCCGAATATAAGCCCCCCGGGGGTTTGTATTTGGGAAATTGCCCTCAAATACAGAAGTAGGACAAAGCAAAAACGGTAAATTCACTTCCAACTGTAAGCCTAGCCCAATCGATTTTGAAAAGCAAATTTCCCTCCGTAGGTGAGCCCCTCCGAATATAAGCCCCTTCAAAAATAAGTCCCTCAAAAAAGGCCTTCAAAAACTGTAAGTCCCAGGGCTTATTTTCGGAATTTTACGGTATATTAATAAATTGTTTTCATATGCTCTTTGGAATCTCAAACATCGTTTTTTACATTTTCATTTTAGTTAGTTAGAGATTCAAGCATGCTGTACGAAATATTCCATAAAAATCGGAAAATAATTAAAGTCAGCCTTCTCTCCAGGTGCCTCACTTCAATGAACAGGGTTGGAAAAGACAATAAATAAAAAAAAACACTAAGAAAACTCAGTATAACTCCCTTAATAATATTTTTCAAAGTGATGCGTAGTGCCACGAACATCAATTTCACAAATTTTGACTAAGATAACTAAAAAACCTAAAAATGATATCAAATACAAACCTTTCAATGTCACATTATCTCCAATCAGCATAAAGGGTGCCCACTGCATGATGTCAGAAAAGCGAGTCTCTCTCATCGACTTCATGGCCTGATGAAGAGATTCACTGGCACTTTCACCACGAACAAGGTGCTCGTAAAAACGATTCATAAACCACATGGTAGCTTTGTCCTCTACAGCGCACAGTGCTGCCAGCACGGCGCGTGCACCCGATGCTAGAAATGCTCGAGCGATTCCAACAATTCCCTCAGCTCTACTCTGACCACATGCACTATGACAGCAGCTAAGGACAACCAGCTTGGCTGTTAGTCGAACTTGTGAAATTTCAGCCATCGTTAATAAGTAGTCTTCTTCGTGTGGAGTTCCGCGGGAGCTTCTAGGGGAAAGAGCTATTTCTCCACGTTCGGCATAACCATGAGCAGCGAAGTGAATGAGACTTACTGAATGCATGCTTTCCAGGACTGCCTGCTTAGTTGCATCCTTTCCAAGCAACGGTTGAACACCGAGCAGTCGCCCAATCATCTCTGCTTCCTTTCTCGCCCCAGGTAGTGGGTTTAACTGTAGAATTTTTCCTTGGTAGTATACATCACTCACGTCTGGCTCCCCTACGATCAGTGCACCGGTTTTACTATGGTAGTCTACTGGGCTGAGCTGAATCAACTTAAGAGTCGTCAAGGAAGGGACAATACGAATCCTGAAAGTATCCGATAAATACTTTCCATTACCATCTATTAAAGCAGCAAAAGGAATTGGATACAACAACTTATCCGGTATAATAATGATTTCTGATTCTTGGAGTAAGTCAGCTATATGAGCGACTATCATGTTGTAACCGTCAGCAAGGGTTAAAGGTTTAGAGTCAGGATTTTCGTCTTCCTCTTCACTCTGAGATTGTTTCCATGATAGCGGGGAAGTTACACGTGAAAATAATGATCGATCTTCGCATTGGTCTTGACGTAAATCAAGGGAGCCACCAAATGTCTGATTTCCAAACACTTTATCTGCACTTTCTTTGAGTCTCGTTTGTCGAAAAACTATCATTTTGTTTGGCTTGAGGATCCAAAAGTACATATTATCACCGAAGCAGGAAACATAAAGACAAGTACTAAGTCCATTTTTGTTCATAATGTTCTCCATACCAATCCATGACTGTGGGTTGACTGATACCCCTTTTTCCACAGAGTAATTATCTGAAAGTACGTCTGTCAGTGCTCTGGATCGTCCAAGCTCGGCAACGTAAAGACCTTCATAATAACGGCCTGTAGCAATTAACAACCTACAAAGAAGAATGTAAGGGGACACATGCTCATCAAAAAAAGAAATTTTGAATTGATATTTCTTTCTTAAAAAATCATGCATTTCTTCACACTTCTGAATGCTTTCACGCAGATTTCGCAGAAGTTCAGTTATGCTTCCTCCTGCCACTAACTCGTTCAGAGCAATGGTAAGGTGGCTGTTAAACTGCAGTTCAATGTCCCCTATTTTGTAACTTATCTGAAGTGCTTTATTAGCAAATTCTTGACTCTTTGCAGTAAGTTGAAGTTCTCGACAAAGTTTTCCCAGATTTAAGTATGAAGCTCCAACACCAGCTTTGTCTCCGATTTCTTTCATGATCACTAGTGCTTTTTGAAGGTATTCTTCGGCCTTGGTATATTGACCAACAGATTGAAACACAGTTCCTAGATTTCCGTAAGCAGATGCTTCTCCTTCTTTGTCACCGATTTCTTTCTTGATCACTAGTGCTTTTTGAAGGTATTCTTCAGCCTTGGTATATTGACCAACAGATTGAAACACATTTCCTATATTTCCGTAAGCAAGTGCTTCTCCTTGTTTGTCACCGATTTCTTTGCTGATCACTAGTGCTTTTTAAAGGTATTCAGGGCTTGAAATAACGGCTGGTCAACGGACAATGTCCGGTCAGAATCGAGCATTGTCCGAGCAAATCCGTGGATGACCGGACATGTTGTCCGGTCATTTGGGCTTTCAAAGAAAATTCAAGTTTGAGACAATCATGATGGAAATTTATTCAATCTTATCATGTTCCCAAAAAAGATATTAACTAGAGGGACTTTTGTTTGTGAAATTGATGACATTTCCTGTTGTCAGTCGCGACCGCAAATTGGCTACTGCTGTGCGTGTTGTAAAGTGCTCAAGATTGCACGCCCCGCTGCGCCGAAAATAACCCGCATAGCATCTGGTGCCAACAAGAGCGAAAAAAGAAAGACCCAGAGTGACAGTATAATGAATTAGGTCACCCTCTTGCTCCAATAAAACTTCACAAATGTAACATTAAAATAAAAGGCTTTGAGTGTTAATGAAGTAAACATAAAAATAGAGTTTGTCTTTATTTCGCCCTGTCCGTAAATTTGTTGCGTGTTTATCACTAAACGACTAAGGTTAACTCAACATTCATCACCCTGTTCTCTTTGAAATACATTATGTATAAGTTTTAACGCATTCAAATGCCAATGAATGCCCACTACCACGATTTTTTGTGCGAATGGCGATGTTACTTCGGCCAGCAGGTCGCACCGAAGGATACGATTATTTTCATTGCGCAACGTGTAAGAGATGTAACGGAGAATTTACAAAATGTATATTACACTCAAAAGAAACGTTAACCAACAAAATTATATGAGCTGAAAGTTTAATAGCGTTTATTATCGTGTTAATTGAGAGATTGAAATTATTTGTAGAAACAAAGCAGCATTTGCTAAAATGTAAATGTTGTACTATAAAGTTGACGGTTACGTTTTGTTAGTGATTTGGTCAGGTTTCAACCAAACGTTAACGATGAGGTTGTGTCTTGCAATCCACGTGTCTGACTTACAATGTAACAGAACAAAGAGTAATAAAACTACAACTTCTAATTTTTTGCACACTCGATTTGTTTTGAGTAACTAGAGTTGCCGTTGCTGAAAATGACACAGATCATGTAACTTGCAAAATGGAGCCTCCATTGCAACTAGTTAAGATGGATTAAATTTGTCCGGCCAAAAATGCCTATGTCCGAGCAAAATCACTTTTGACCGGACAATGTGTCCGGCGCCTGCCCAATAGTTATTTCAAGCCCTGGTATTCTTCAGCCTTGGTATATTGACCAACAGATTGAAACATAGTTCCTAAATTTCCGTAATCTGCTGCTTCTCCTAGTTTGTCACCGATTTCTTTCCTGATCACTAGTGCTTTTTGAAGGTATTCTTCAGCCTTGCTATATTGACCAACAGATTGAAACATAGTTCCTAAATTTCCGTAATCTGCTGCTTCTCCTTGTTTGTCACCGATTTCTTTCCTGATCACTAGTGCTTTTTGAAGGTATTCTTCAGCCTCGGTATATTGACCAACAGATTTAAACACAGTTCCTAGATTTCCGTAAGCAGATGCTTCTCCTTGTTTGTCACCGATTTCTTTGCTGATCACTAGTGCTTTTTGAAGGTATTCTTCAGCCTTGCTATATTGACCAACAGATTGAAACACAGTTCCTAGATTTCCGTAAGCAGATGATTCTCCTTGCTTGTCACCGATTTCTTTGCTGATCACTAGTGCTTTTTGAAGGTATTCTTCAGCCTTGGTATATTGACCAACAGATTGAAACACAGCTCCTAAATTTCCGTAATCTGCTGCTTCTCCTAGTTTGTCACCGATTTCTTTCCTGATCACTAGTGCTCTTTGAAGGTATTCTTCAGCCCTGGTATATTGACCAACAGATTTAAACACAGTTCCTAGATTTCCGTAAGCAAGTGCTTCTCCTTGTTTGTCACCGATTTCTTTCCTGATCACTAGTGCTTCTTCAAGGTATGTTCTAGCCTCGATATATAGACGAACAGATTTAAACACAGTTCCTAGATTTCCGTAAGCAGATGCTTCTCCTTGTTTGTCACCGATTTCTTTGCTGATCACTAGTGCTTTTTGAAGGTATTCTTCAGCCTTGCTATATTGACCAACAGATTGAAACACAGTTCCTAGATTTCCGTAAGCAGATGATTCTCCTTGCTTGTCACCGATTTCTTTCCTCATCACTAGTGCTTTTTGAAGGTATTCTTCAGCCTTGGTATATTGACCAACAGATTTAAACACAGTTCCTAGATTTCCGTAAGCAGATGCTTCTCCTTGTTTGTCACCGATTTCTTTGCTGATCACTAGTGCTTTTTGAAGGTATTCTTCAGCCTTGCTATATTGACCAACAGATTGAAACACAGCTCCTAAATTTCCGTAATCTGCTGCTTCTCCTAGTTTGTCACCGATTTCTTTCCTGATCACTAGTGCTTTTTGAAGGTATTTTCTAGCCTCGGTATATTGACCAACAGATTTAAACACAGTTCCTAGATTTCCGTAAGCAAGTGCTTCTCCTTGTTTGTCACCGATTTCTTTCCTGATCACTAGTGCTTCTTCAAGGTATCTTCTAGCCTCGATATATTGACCAACAGATTTAAACACAGTTCCTAGATTTCCGTAAGCAGATGCTTCTCCTTGTTTGTCACCGATTTCTTCGCTGATCACTAGTGCTTTTTGAAGGTATTCTCTAGCCTTGGTATATTGACCAACAGAAATAAACACAGTTCCTAGATTTCCGTAATCTGCTGCTTCTCCTTTTTTGTCACCGATTTCTTTCCTGATCACTAGTGCTTTTTGAAGGTATTCTTCAGCCTCGGTATATTGACCAACAGATTTAAACACAGTTCCTAGATTTCCGTAAGCAGATGCTTCTCCTTGTTTGTCACCGATTTCTTTCGTGATCACCAGTGCTTTTTGAAGGTATTCTTCAGCCTTGGTATATTGAGCAACAGAAAGAAACACAGCTCCTAGATTTCCGTAAGCAGATGCTTCTCCTTGCTTGTCACCGATTTCTTTCCTCATCACTAAAGCTTTTTGAAGGTATTTTCTAGCCTCGGTATATTGACCAACAGATTGAAACACAGCTCCTAGATTTCCGTAAGCAGATGCTTCTCCTTGTTTGTCACCGATTTCTTTCGTGATCACTAGTGCTTTTTGAAGGTATTCTTCAGCCTTGGTATATTGAGCAACAGAAAGAAACACAGCTCCTAGATTTCCGTAAGCAGATGCTTCTCCTTGCTTGTCACCGATTTCTTTCCTCATCACTAGTGCTTTTTGAAGGTATTCTTCAGCCTTGGTATATTGACCAACAGATTGAAACACAGCTCCTAGATTTCCGTAATCTGCTGCTTCTCCTCGTTTGTCACCGACTTCTTTGCTGATCACTAGTGCTTTTATGTGTGTGTAAAAGAGAAAATAAAGAGAGAATATAATGCAGACAAATGCCGGAGAAAAGCAATGACATTCGTTTGGGTCATTCTTTATAAAGGCGTCATGTTTAAAACTTTGCGCCAAAACTTGGGTTGTCCCAGGCTAGCTCGCCTCATCTAATACCGGGCTGAAATTCACCTCCAGACACAGACTGTTTATATTTTGACACGTTATTACAGGTGGAAAGCAACGACGATTGGTCCAAGAAGGAAAGTCAATTACGAAAGATTTCATCTCTCCCCTTCCCCCCCTTCAAAAGCCAATGCAAGGTTCGAAATTTATCTGCGATTTATTTGAATACTATAACAAACAAAATGTTTTTATTCGAATAAAGGTTATTTGCCAAACACAAAAACCTAAATTCTTCATGTCGAATTTTCCATGTCAGGTCATGATCGCGCAAAATTCACGAGAGCACCCACAATCGGTAAATGGCATTTATCGATTGTGCAGCATGCTTCTTGCAACTGGAAAGCTATTTCAAACAACAATATTTGATTTTCCCTACCCTATTTCAGACCCGACCCACAATTCGATGCTCTGTTGCAGCGCACATACTCGTGTTCCTAGCTACCCAGTAGCTGTTTTGATTTGCGTCTACATTTGCGAAGAGCTTAAAATCAGAAGCATATAACTCTTAATTATTTTATATAAAATTGATGTAAAACGGATCAGCGCAAATATTGAGTTGTGGAAGATTCCGAGATAAGCTATTTAGACAGGGATGCCTTCATTATTTTCTGAGTCCATATTTGAGCAAGAAAAGTTATTTGCTTCTGATTGGACGGCTAAGACAAACCTCAGCATGGTTCTCAACAAATAAGCGGAATTTGGATGCTTCAGGGTTATATGCTTCTGTCGAAATTAACGGAAGCGTGCTTCTCGATTGTTGAATAAACGTAAAAGCGCATTTCTCACGGAGGTTATTCCCTAAACACCACACTTTAAATATACTGGTATACAATTTATTATTTTTTTTGACAATTCTTTTTCGACAAAAAACGCGGAAATTATATTCATCATACACCGTCCAACAAACTAAACACAGAGAAACCAACGAAAGGGAAAACATGTGACATCCAGCCCTTCTGTTCTGAAAACTGCCTAAATGGTCAAGAAACTACAAAACGTTCAGACTGGCCCTAAGAACTCTGCAAATCCGTACAGATTCATTGTTTACAGACACTTTATTACGGATGCAAAGCACCGGTAATTGCTCTGTCACTGTCAGAGCATCAGCAACAAAAACAAAAGACTATAGAGATATCTAGGACTGTGTCACTTATAGAGCCTAAATGTTAAAACCTTTGCGTCAAAACTTGGTTGTCCCAGGCTAGCTTGCCTCATGGAATACCAGGCTGAAATTCACCTTCATAAAGCACCGAGCCAACTTGGAAAAGAGGGACAAACCGGCTGTCAATGCCCAATTAATTAATTGCCTATAAGAAATGTTCATCGTAGGGCCGGATATCAATCAAATGACTATTCACAATATGTCACTTCTAAAACGATGTCGACACATCTCAAACTTAAAATGTACAAAACTAATCTGAGGGAAATATTCAGCACGAAAGGGAATCCGAGTTACTTTTGATCACTGATTTAATTGCTTATAGTCTGCTATCGTTTGATCCAAGATTTCAACATCTTGGACGAGTTGTTATAAGTACGACGATGTTACACCCCAAAAAAGTATAGGAAATACGACAAAATAAAACACTCACCGGGTGCAGCTGCACCTGCAGGTATTTCACCCTTCACATCCTTATCCTGCGTATCCTCTCCTTCCGAGGAAGGTGTTAGAGAAGCAACATCTTGTATTCCAGGGTCTAGAATTTTCAAAGAAACATGAACACATTTATCTAGACTCTCCTCTAGTGACACATGTCTATCAAAAGCTTTCCAACAAAAAACGCAATGAAATACACCTAATAAGTATAGGTAATAGCATGGTTTGTAGTGATATTTGGCATAAATACCACGAGTGATATTTCAAAATTGTTATACGCAATTTCACGAGCCGCTAGGCAAGTGAAATTTAAGACAATTTTGAAATATCACGAGTGGTATTTATGCTAAATATCACGAACAAATCATGCTATTAATTGTTTATACTACTACCCACAAAAGGTTTGTAATTTTCACATGTAGGTATTTCAAATTAAGCTGAAATACCACTGCTCTAAGCCAATCAAATTGCAGAAATTTCTTATGTAGTAGTATAAATGGGAAAATTTGGCATCAATAAGTCATTTTTTTCTGCCACGGGTCTGAATAGTGGCGAAAGCGTAGAAAATTTTAAACAGGGCTTGAACAATTTCGCAAATACGTACACATTGTTTACTACAATGCTATTACAGATAGAAAGCACCGATGACTGGTCAAAGAAGAAAAATGAATTACGAAAGAATTCATCTCTCACCACCCCTTTCAATACCAATGCAAGGTTTGAAATCTATCTGTAATATATTTGAATTCTAACAAATTTACAAAATGTTTTTAATCTCATAGAGGTTATTTGCCAAACACAAAAGTTTAGGTTCTTGCTGTCGAATTTTCCATGGCAGGTCACCATCGCGCAAAAATTTACGAGATTACCATTTACCGATTGTGCAACATGCTTCTTGCAACTTGAAAGCTATTTCAAACCACAATATTTGATTTTTCCTACCCTATTTCAGACCCGACCCAAAATTCGATGCTCTGTTGCATCGTACATACTCGTGTTTTTAACTACCCAGTAGCTGTTTTGACTAGCGTGTACAGGGGTTTCAATAAAAATTTAAGTAGCCAGCAGATTTAAACATAATAACCGACTGTATCAACAGTCCACGTTTTCAAGGGGAGTCTGGGGGTATGCTCCCTCAGAAAATTTTAAAATTGCAGAGCCCTAATAAGCGATTTTCAGCGTTTAGGGGACTAAACTGAGTATAAAAGAGGAAGGTTTTCATTCAAGGAGATTTGGGTTTTAGTCAACGTTTGATTTATTAGCCTCACAATTAACGCCTGCAAGCAATGAACAATGATAATTATACTAGTTACATACATTTCCGCGTAAACGAAGTACATTTTCGTCCATGACATTATTCAAACTAGTTGCTTCTTTTTGGAACGAAAAAGTAGCCGACTTCTCTGAGCAATGTAGCCGACGAGTTTCGTCGGTCGTCAGTGCTTATTGAAACCCCTGCGTGTACATTTGCAAAGAGCTTAAAATCAGAAGCATATAACTCTTGATTATTTTATACAAAATTGAGGTAAAACGGCTCAGCGATAATATTAAGTTACGGAATTACCTGGAGAAGTGTTAAGGACCGGAAAATTCCGAGATTAGCTATTTTATAGACAAAGAAGCCTTCAATTCTCTGATTCCATATTTGAGCAAGAAAATTTCCTTGCTTCTAATTGGACGGCTAAACAAAAACCCAGCATGGTTCTAAGAAAATAAGCGGAATTTACACCCTTCAGGGTAATAATATGTTTCTGTTGAAATTAATCAAACCGTGCTTCTCGAGTGCTGTATAAAAGTAAAAGCGTATTTCTCACAGATGTTATTCCCCACACTTTAAATCAAGATAGCGGTATACAAAATCCTTTTTTGACAAAAAAACGCGGAAAACACGTTCATCATACCCCGTCCAACAAACAAAACAATCAGAGACACCAACGAAAGGAAAAATATGGCATCCAGTCGTTCTTTTCTGAAAACTGCTTGAATGGTCAAGAAACTACAAAACGTTCAGACTGGCCCTAAGAACTCGGCTAATCCGTAGAGATTCATTGTTCACAGACACGTTATTATGGATGCAAAGCACCAATTATTTCTAGTAAAACCAAGAGAGGATAAGGGGGACAGAAAAGGCATCCCCCATACACACCCTATTCCATAGGTAATTCGTCTCAAGTTATTGCTAACTATTAACATTTGATATACTACAATTTTCAACATTGCTTGAGAAGAGATGAGGTTCAAAGGTGGCAATATGTACACCTTTAAGTTCATATATATCCTCATTCCTAAGTAGAGTCTGAAAATATTGTACTAATTTATGCATGGATGGTATTTCCAACAATACACATTTTCCTTCACTATGACTGTTATGAAACATATCTCTAGCATGAGAATCAAATGCATTATATCCCCCAGCCTCAGTGCTGTAGATACCAAGACCAATAATTGCCACCATTAAAATGAATGAGTTGTAGTTAGTGCCAAGAGTGTTTCAAATGCTGTAACCTGTGAGTGGCATATACAGTAGTGATGGATGTTACAAGTATAACTTTTACTGTATTCAAGGTGGAAAAATTGCTCAAACACTGTAACCATTTCTGGCAATTCTGTTAACATTACATAGATTGTCTTGCAAGCAGTGACAGACAAGAATATAATTGAATAGCAACAATCATTATTTGAGTCATATCATCAACTGAAGTAATCTTTGTTATCTTACTGTAAATTAAAGCGCACAGACTCATTGCGACACATCGTTGTCCACCATTTTCCCCAAATCCTGTATTTCCTTGACAGTATGGAGCATTAATTACTTTTGCAGCATCTACATAAACTGAAGGTCCTGGATTCTTCTCTATATCAGTACAAAGCTTAAATTGGCCAAAATTAACCCGGTGATTCAAACTGTTTTAAGCAGTATAAAATGGATAATTACATGTACAGAGGGGCAAATTCTTACTTAGAAGCCTATTTAGACATCTCATTCCACCTAAATCGCCTGTGCTCTGATGCTTGGACGACAGATACACCTTCCCTCGTTTACGAACTAGTTTTGGAGTTGCCCCTCAAGTAAAAACCCAAAACTTTGTTACAGTTACTTCTGTACCTGTTTAAGTGTAAACCTTTTGTACTTTTAACGTAACAATTTCAGACGACAATGGTGTATTTTTCCGAATACTCTTCCATACAAAAAGTGACACTTTCCGTGTTTTCTGTAACAAAGATTTTAATTTGTTCATTAGTAGTCTGCTACGGGTATGAAGGTAACCGGTCATTTCGTTCC